TTCGCAAACAGAGGGTTAATTCATCATGTATGAACATCCAGAACAGGACTGTGTGTTAGCTGGTCAGTGGTTTCTATTTAAAAAATATGGGCATATTCTTTTATTTTCATTTACTAACTTCTTTGCTATTGAGATAATACATTAAAATATAGAGTGATAGAGGTGTCACTTCAAAACACTTAGATCAGCTCCTTCAAGAACCATCTAATTCAATCAAATATGTATGAGCATTTGTTTACATGAAAATAATCCAGTATAAAACTTGTGATAACCCATCAAAAACCTTATCCAGCTACTCTCTAGTACATAAAACATATGAGGTAGACTTAGTTTCAAATAAAAGTATAAAACATTAAAGATAACAAATAATGAAGTGTTTCCCCTTTACCATTTAGACCGGAAGTCCTACAGTACGGGGCAAGGACACTTATACATAGTTTGGTCAAAACTACAAGAATCATCACAAACTTGTGTGTCACTGGATATGTGCAGCTACACCATAGTGGCAAGGGTTTAAAGCTAGCACCAGTTTATTCATTTTCTTAGAAATAAGAGAATCAGTTGCTGATACTAGTAACATAGATCAAAGGAAATGCGCTTTTCTTCTCTTTTTAATATATTTTATTGATTTTTTTACAGAGAGGAAGGGAGAGGGATAGAGAGTTAGAAACATCGATGAGAGAGAAACATCGATCTGCTGCCTCCTGCACACCCCCTACTGGGGATGTGCCCGCAACCAAGGTACATGCCCTTGACCAGAATCAAACCTGGGACCCTTGAGTCTGCAGGCCGACGCTCTATCCATTGAGCCAAACCGGTTAGGGCAGGAAATGCCCTTTTCTAACAAAACAGGAAAAGATGTCAATGTAGAAGAAAGATTAAGAAAAGGGTGAAGAGGACACATATGCAAAATGCAGCTGGATGCTGTCAAGAACACCTGACTGGGAGGCTGGATAGCTGGTCTAGAGCCAGCCCTTCCATGAGTTCTAGACAAGTCCAAACTCTCTGGGCTATTCCCTTCTCAATAAAACTAGGACCATGGCCCTAGCCAGTTTGGCTCGGTGGATAGAGCGTCAGCCTGCAGACTGAAGGGTCCCAGGTTCGATTCTGGTCAAGAGCATGTGCCTTGGTTGCGGGCACATCCCCAGTAGGGGGTGTGCAGGAGGCAGCTGATCGATGTTTCTCTCTCATCGATGTTTCTAACTCTCTATCTCTCTCCCTTCCTCCCTGTAAAAAATCAATAAAATATATTTTTAAAAAAACACACACAAAAACTAGGACCACGGCTGCTGACTCTTTTTCCTGTTTGTTCTCAAATCTTTGGACTTGATTACATCAAGGTGTCATCCCCAAGTCTAAGACATCTCAAGAGAATTTTCAAGATTGCTACTGATAATTCTATTATAAACTAAGGAAAAGTAGTCTTGCTATAATATAGACAGCTCTGGAGAATTCTATTTAACTAGTCATTCTCTTCACAAGGACAAAACTTTGACATCTGACCTCCCTGCCAGTTCTGGAAGGGAGCCTGTTTTTAATTCTGTCACAGACACAGTTGTCAACAACATGCCATGCCGAAGCTCCATGGGGTTTTAAAATCCATCTGCTCCTCAAAATGCAATTCCTGAAAATAAGAGGTTAAAAGCTTCTATTATTGTTGGGGTGCCAACCCATGAAGCTCAAAGTTCTCAGACATTGAGTGTCACTTTCATTAACTTCCATATCACCACATCACCCAAGAAACTTTATGAAGGGATAGTATTATCCTGGCTCCGAGTTTTGTGGGAAATAATAGACAACTTACTGCTTTTTTCTGCATTCAGATGCTTTCTCCACAGTGAAGTCAGGCAGGTTGACAAATCCTTCAGCTTTTTCTGCCTGAAACACATACATACCACATATATGAATCAGTGCCTTAGTCTTGCAGTTAGGTTATTGAGATTACATATAATGAATAAAGAGAGCACCGATGAAATAAAGGAGAATCAAAAGATATCTTCCTGAATCAGCACTGGACTTATCCTAGACACACATTTTACTAGAGAAGTTTGCTAGTCTCCTGTGAAGTCATCTAGAATCTTTCCATCAGTAGTAACATGACACAGCTTAGGGACGGACGGCCGTTGTATGGCGCCCAAAGGACCTGCCCTGCCCCTTCCTCTCTTCCTAAACCATCAGAGCTATGCTTTCTGCTGAGCCTATAGGTATCCTCAGCATCATTCCCATCCTACTCCTCTAGGAAGTCACAGCACATAAGATGGAACCTAATTAGCACTCATATATGGTGGATAGAGGCTTGACTTTGGAGGTAGTAAATTGAGGTTCATATCATAGATTTATCACTTATTGGTTGTTATATGACTTAAATGAGTTCAGGTAAATAAAACACTTAATGGACACCCAACAAACATTATTTCCTCTCCCAAGACTTTGGAAGTTCCTTGGGGAAGAAATCACAGAGTCATATCTGGTAAAATCTCAGTTCCATAACTGATCTCTCAGAGTTCTTTATACACAGGAGAGACTGCAGAAGAAAGACGCACTTTTGAGACATAATATGAATGCCACTTTAAATCATCAATATTTTTATAGGACATGTACCCATTCTTCCACAGTCTCAAAGGTGCTCACCCTTCCCCATTCCCTCAGCCTAGAATAAGTGCCTTCCCTCAGCACCCAGCACCAAGGGTGGGCTTCACTTACATACTTCTTACTATATTTGCTTATCTGGTTATGTGCCTGTTTCCCCAATAGATTGTGTGTACTTTGAAGGAAACACTCCTGTCATTTATATTATACTAGAGGCCCGGTGCACAAAAATTTGTGCACTCAGGGGGCGGTGAGGGGGGTCCCTCAGCCCGGCCTGTGCCCTCTCGCAGTCTGGGACCCCTTGGGAGATGACGACCTGCTGGCTTAGGCCTGCTCCCAAGTGGCAGAGGGCAGGCCCAATCCCTAGGTGCAGCCCCTGGTTGGGCTCAGAGCAGGGCCGAATGGGGAGTTGGGGTGCCGCCCCCTAT